AGAACATTACATGTATGCCCAACATTAGAAGTTGGTGAATGTAGAGCGGTATATTTAATGGTGGGTATACTACACACTTTTTCTGGCAGAGATTTCTTCATTCACATCGATTGATGTGAATGGAAGAATCTGTTAACTTATCTTTATTCTTTTGTGTCCACAAGCTGTATGAATAAGAGAACATTACATATATGCCCATTCTTGTAAAAGCAATCCTGGATGGCTTTTACAAGCAGCGGGAGGGGACGCCCTCCCCTCCTGCCGCCTTCCACAGCTTTCTCGAGCTCTCCTGTCCCACCAGAGAACCTGAGAATGCAAGAGGCGGTTCTGCCTGCTAACTATAGAGCTGATCAGAGACTGGAGAAGCTCCAATAATCTCTATAGTCTAAGAAACTCAATGCAACAAGCATTTCATCACTTTGGTTTTGCAGATATAAACAGCTTTAAATTGAGAAAGCATCCTATCCTACTGATTGGTGTGTTCAGATGCTTTAGGGCAGAAGAGAGATCTAGAGTCTAATAGACCCCAGATTTCTCAGAAAATAGTACCTGTCACTGCCTATTGCTATTATAGAGAAAAAAAAGAAAGGAAGAATTTAAAAAAAATGAAAGCACCCCAGTCCCCCCATACTCGCATGCAAGTGTCAGTCCTGTGTTGGCATGTAAAAAGCAATTGCACCATGTATGTGAGGCATCACTGTGAATGTCAGATTGAGGGCAGTAATTCTAGTACTAGACCTCCTGTGTAAATCTAAAGTGGTAGCCTGTAAGGGCTTTTAAAGCATCTCCTATTGATATTGAAAACTTACGTAGTGTGTTGCTGTTGCATGGGCATGCGCAATTTTAAAGCATGTCATCATTGTTATCTATTTACTCGACATAACATCATCTTTTAGATTTTACCAAACAATTGGCCGATATATTGTGTTTTTGTGCAATAAAATTTAAAAAAGTGTATTTTTCCAAAAAATGTGCATTTGAAAATCGCTGCGCAAATACTGTGTGACATAAAAAATTTAAAATCCCACCATTTTATTTTCTAAGGCCTCTGCTTTAAAAAAAAATATATAATGTTTGGGGGTTTAAAGTAACTTTCTAGCAAAAAAATACAGATTTTTCTGTAAATAAAGTGTCAGAAAAGGTTTGGTCTTCAAATGGTTAGAACAGTGGGTGATGTGTGGCATAGGCTTCTAATGTTGGGCATAAAATGCTAGGACATTTCAAAAACCCCCCCAATGACCCCTTTTTGGAAAGTAGACACCCCAATGTATTTGCTGAGAGGCATTTTGAGTGCATGGAAGTTTTTAGTTTTTGGACATGACAAATATATTTTTTTTAACAAAGTTGTCAGTTTAATAAGCTATTTCTCACACATGCCATTGGTATATGTGGAATTACACCCCAAAACACATTCTGCTACTTTCCCCAAGTATGGGGATACCACATGTGAGAGACTTTTTGGCAGTCTAGCCACGTACAGGACGCCAAAATCCAATAGGCATCTTCAGGCTTTTAAAGCGCATTATTTCCTCAGTACACATCCTGACTACCCATCACAGTTTCAGAGGCCTTGAAATGCCAGGATAATACAAACACCCCCCAAAATGACCCCTTTTTGGAAAACAGACACTCCAAGGCATTTGCTAAGAGCCATGGTGAGTATTTTGTAGATCTCATGTGTTGCCACAAGTATTTGGAAAATGAAAAAAGAAAAAGAAAACAATTTTTTTTTCTGAATATTCAAAACCTTGTAAAAAATATTTCTGCAAAGTACTCACCACTCCTGTTATTCAATTCCTTGGATTATCTGCTTTCCAAAATGGGGTCATTTGGGTAAGGAGGGGTTGTGATAGGTAGTGAGGAAGTGAAATGAGGAAATTATGTCCTTGGAAAGCCTGAAGGTGGTCATTGCTTTCCAGGTCCTGTACATGGCTCCCTAAAAGTCTCACACAAAGGATATCCCCATACTCAGGAGAAGCAGCAGAATGTAGTTTGTGGTGCAATTCCACAACACACCATAGCATGTGTGAGCAATATATCATTTAAGTTACAACTTTGTGTAAAAAACTTGTGACAAAAAATAAAATCTTCCATGGGCTCAACATGCCTCTCAGCAAATTCATTGATGTGTCTACTTTCCAGAAAGGGATCATTTGGGTGTTTTTTTTTTGTGCTGCCCTGGCATTTTAACAGCTTAAAAAATGTGATAGGCAATCAGAAAGTAAATGTAGAGGGAGGTTGGGAGCGCTAGAACATAAACTCAAATAGGGATGGGGATTAGGGATGGACCATGGATGAATGCATAAGTAAAAGGTCCATATATGCAAATGGTAGTAAACAGATATATAATGCAGCATGTCTTAAGTGGATTTGAAGATTGGGGAGTCTGTAGACATATATGTGTCTTGAAGGTGGAGGCAATCAGCTGTCAGAGCTTGAAGATACTCTAGTACACAGATAGGAGAGAAGAGAAACAGTGGCGTACTCTAAGTGTAGATTTTTTAAACACAGGCCGATTAAATGATAAAAACACACTCACAAAAGTAGGATAAAAACAGGCATGGTGATATATGAGAGGTCCAGTGATGCTGATGATCCTGTGCGGTACTACTGCGTGTCCCTGCTGCTCCGGTGGTTTCCAGGGTTCATGGGGGTAGCAGAGAGGTGCAGGGAGGATCTGTATGATGGCATCACTCGGGACTGGATCTCCAAATATGGCGTGCATTCAAAGTGTGAGCGCTTCTTCCTCAGGCCGTCCGGCAAACATTTTAGTTGAGGCTTATATGGGCAGTGCTGGCGGGCGAAGCATGGAATCTCAGGTCCGCCTTCACTGCTGTTGTCAGATGGGGCTATTAAAACTATGGTGACCGGATGTTTAAATTAACATAATACTGGACATGCAGCGACAGGATACTTTGGAAAAATATATATGTGATACTTACAATCGAAGAGAGGGGGCTTTCATAAAGGGACAGTATCACTAACATAACAGACCATAAGGGTTCTGAGGAAATTAAAATGAAAAACAAAAAGTGTAAGATGATAAAAACAAAAATAAATATAAAAATAAGTTATCAGTAGCATGATATGGGTAAAATGGGTAAAATAAAATGTAAAAAAGAAAAAAGAGAGAACTGGACCGCACCTCTCACATATTAACATGCCTGTTTTTATTCTACTCTTGTGAGTGTGTTTTTATCATTTAATCAGCCTACTTTTAAAACAGTCTACACTTAGAGTGGTGCCGCTGTTTCTCTTCTCTCCAGTCAGAAAGAAAAAGCTAAATTCCAGTATATATACCGTAGTTTGTAGATGCTATAACTTTCACACAAACCAATTCATTTACATGTATAGGGATTGGTTTGCTTTTGATCCATTTCTGCTGTGTGTTTTGCTGTCCGTTTTTGACGCATTTCGTGTTTCATGTCTATTTTTGATGCGTTTTGTTGTTGGGCAGATTAAAAAATACAAAATGCATTAAAAACGTGTCAAAAACGCACTACATACTTTTTTGCAGTGTCTCCATTGAAGTTTATTGAACAAAAAACACACTGTTTTGCATTTAAAAAAGCTCCTGCCCCTTTCCAAAAACGCAGTGGCTGAAAAGATGAAAAGAGCATAGATGTGAACGTGTTCCATATGAAACCATGCTAAATGGACTTTAGTGCGTTTCTGCAAAAAGCACCAAACAATGCATAGGTGTGAACCAGTCCTTAAAGAGACCTTGTCCCAAAAATGTTGACTCAGGAAGCATCATGAAGTAATATTTAACCCCTTTATGATAGCTATATGCATAAATGCAGCAACAGGGTGGGAGGGCTTTAATGCCCAGCCATATAGCTGAGAGCTTCATTGGTGCCCTTAGAACTATGACTGAGATGACAAATACTGATGATCTACAGCTGGCTGGTCGATAATGTCAGCACTGTGCAGTCAATCATAGTGCCCCAGTTGTCATGGCCAATTTACACCCCCGTCACAACGATCCGACTTTGAAATCGTGCGACTTCACTGGAAGGTGGAAGGAAAAGGTGCACCATCCATCCCAATTGTCAGAAGCTGCTATGGGGCTCGATGGTGCACCAAGTGGTACTACCATTCACACCCCGATCACACCAATTCAACTTCCAGTGAAGTTGCACGATTTCAAAGTCGGATGGTATTCCGACTTAAGGTGCGACTTGCAAGACATCTGCGGCTTGCAAGACACAGATGTCTATGCAAGTTACACCTGAAGTAGTGCATGTACTACTTTAGAAATCGGTGCAGCTTTGACCAAGTCGGTATCGCACCAATATGACCGCTGTAATTGCGGACAATAGGGTGCCGCTTGCCACGCGATTTGCAAGTCACATGGCATGGCAAATCGCATGCTAAGTCGCACTCGTTGTGACTGGGGTGTAAAGCGCTGCCTCCTGCTGGTGCAAAGCCGTTACAGGGTAACTCCACTTGGGTGGGAATAAATAATATAGTAAATACAATATAGTAATATAGTAAATACAATTGCTATACAAGTCATATTTTAACCGCTAGCCTACAGGGCACTTCTACCCCCTTCCTGCCCGGGCCAATTTACAGCTTTCAGCGCTGTTGCACTTTGAATGACAATTGCGTGGTCATGCAATAATGTACCCATATGAAATTTTTTATCATTTTTTTGTGACAGATAGAGCTTTATTTTGGTGGTATTTAATCACCTCTGGGTTTTTTATTTTTTCTTAAACAAACCAAAAACCACTGAAAAGTTTGGAAAAAAAAAGTTTTTCTTAGTTTTTGTTATAAAATTTTGTAAATAAGTGATTTTTCTCCTTCACTGATGTGCGCTAATGAGGTTGCAGTGATGGGCACTGATAGGCTGCACTGATGGACACTGATAGGTGGCACTGATGAGGAGGCACTGGTAGGTAGCACTGATGGGCATTGACAGGCAGCACCGATACATGGCACTGAAAGACAGCACTGATACATGGCACTGATAGGCAGCACTGATGGCACAAATAGGCGGCACTGACTGGCACTGATAGGCGGCACTGACAGGCACTGATAGGAGGCAATGATGCGCACTGATAGGCAGCACTGATGGCACTGATAGGTGGCACTGATTGGCAGCACTGATAGGTGGCACTGATTGGCATTGATAGGTGGCACTGACTGGCACTGATGGGTGACACTGAAAGGCAGCTCAGATGGGTACTGATATGTGGCATTGATGTGATTGGACACAGCTGATCACATGACCGAGCCGACATCTTCAGCTCTTTCCGTGATCGGTGATCCGTTGTGTCCGATCACCTGAGCTGCGCATGCACAGTGAGAATGGGGAGGACATCATATGACGTTGTCCCAGAATGAGAGAACCACTTGTGTCCGTCATATTACTATATGGTGGGTGGGGAGGTGGTTAATATAATGTTATGAAAAATTACCTTTCATTTTCAAGCTGCAGCTCTGTAATTTTCTGTAAAATGCAACACAACATGGCAACCTGGAGGCATTCTATACATCGATGGTGTACAAAACAGCCCCCAGAATGTAATTTCCTGTTTGTGTGATTTGCTTACTGATTTTGCCAGACATCTGCACTAAGATACAAGTCAGAACTGCAGCAAAAATGTCATTTTTGGTGAGATACTCACAAAGGCAAATCACGTCAAAAGGGATGCAGACCTTGCCACTTTCCTCATTAGAGCCCTGGAAGTGCAGAAATTGATCAATAATTATAAAGTCACAACCATTGACATTCACTTTGCACATGGACACAGACAAACAGCTATTTCTCCAGAATTATAAAAGGTACGAATCTGCTGCAAAGTTTGTTGAAAATCTTCGCAATGTACATAGATTACAAAGAGTGGAATGTTTTTTTTTCTCAAGAAAAGTGGAGGTACTCTTTAACCATTTCAATACCGGGCAATTTTACACCTTCCTGCCCAGGCCATTTTTCAGGTTTCAGCGCTCTCACACTTTGAATGACAATTGCGCGGTCATACAACATTGTACCCAAACTAAAAATTTATAATTTTCTTCACACAACTAGAGCTTTCTTTTGGTGGTATTTAATCACCGCGGGGGATTTTATTTTTTGCTAAATTATCAAAAAAAGACCGAAAATTTTGAAAAAAACACGTTTTTTCTTTGTTTCTGTTATAAAAGTTTGCAAATAAATAATTGTTCTTCCTAAATTTAGGCCAAAATGTATTCTGCTACATGTCTTTGGTGAAAATAACCCAAATTAGGATGTATTTTTTAGTTTGTAGGAAAGTTATAGAGATACATAACTATGGTATAGATCTGAATATTGATCAATCCTGAAGTACTGATGGCCAATCTAATTTCTTGAGGTCCAAGAATGTCAGAACAGTACAGATATCCCCAAATGACCCCTTTTTGCAGAGTAGACAGTCCGACGTACTTCATAAGAGGCATGGCGAGTTTTTTGAAGTTGTATTTTTTTTGTCATAATTTTTCGGAAAATGAAAAAAAATGCAAAAAATTATTTTCACTATTTTATTTTTTTACATACTGTCACCAGTGCAGTACAGCATCTTCATATAACTGGCATGGTGGTGATCAGGGACACTGACTGGTGACAGTATGAAAAAAAAAATATATATATTTTTTTATTTTTTTATTATTTTTAATTTTTTATTACTTTTTTTTAATTTTTTTTCAGATTTCACTATGTCCAAAGTAGTACAATGTTACCATAGTAACATTGTACTACTTTGGGGAAGTTATCAGTATTTCTTTTGTTTTTTCACAATTTGCTTATAGCAAAGAATTTACCTGAATGACATCGATTCATTCAGGTTTTTTTTTTTTTTTTTTTTTTTTTTTGTGCTTAGCTGTGATTTGGCCACAGCTAATCACATGACATGTGCATGTGATTAGCTGTGACCATTTACAGCTAGACACTAGTATACAATGGATGGCATGAATGAAGCCATCCATTGTATGCAACTGTCATGTGACCTGCTGTGATTGGTCACAGCAGGTCACATGGTACCAGCTAACGGGGCCGATACTCAGATCTGTCATCGGCCGTGTCCAAGGTACACGGCTGGTGACAGATCGCGCCGCAGCGAGGCTCTGCAAGCGCGCAAAGTGCGCATGTGCGGGAGGACGCAATTTGGCGCCCACCCGGAAATTCAATACATTTTTCCGGCTGCCTTTTGGCTATTGGTCGGGCGTGTATTGGTTAAAGAACATAAATCTCAAAACTAAGGGACTAAATGTAAAAAATCCTGAGAAAATGGAGCTGGTTATTGTCATGTTGTGTGTTACGTGAGTGGCACACAGAAGACTCACCATATCAATACAGGGATGCCTGTGGTGGGTGCAGAGATGAGTGTGGAACAGTAGCGCTCTTCACATGCAGTGCTATGGTAAACATGTACAGATCATTGTCATTAAAAACAGTAGAGTGAGCAGACTAACATGCACAGATTGATAGTGGTAGGAGTGGCCTGCTTTACCTGTCCATATGTGTCTAATGTACATGCACAAACCTTTATACATATAATACAAGACCAAAAAAAGAAAGACTCTATCTACACTGTATTGCCAAAAGTATTGGGATGTCTGCCTTTACACACACCTGAACTTTAATGGCATCCCAGTCTTAGTCCATAGGGTTCAATATTGAGTTGGCCGACCCTTTGTAGCTATAACAGCTTCAACTCTTTTGGGAAGGCTGTCCACAAGGTTTAGGAGTATGTCTATGGGAATGTTTGACCATTCTTCCAGAAGCACATTTGTGAGGTCAGGCACTGATGTCAAACGAGAGCCCTGGCTCACAGTCTCCGCTCTAACTCATCCAAAAGGTGTTCTGTCAGGTTGAGGTGCAGGCCAGTCAAGTTTCTCCACCCCAAAACTCGCTCATCCATGTCTTTATGGACCTTGCTTTGTGCACTGGTGTGCAGTCATGTTGGAAGAGGAAGGGGCCATCCCCAAACTGTTCCCACAAAGTTGGGAGCATGAAATTGTCCAAAATGTGTTGGTATGCTGACGCCTTAAGAGTTCCCTTCACTGTAACTAAGGAGCCAAGCCCAACCCCTGAAAAACAACTCCACACCACAACCCTCCACATCCAAATTTTACACTTGGCACAATGCAGTCAGGCATGAACCGTTTTCCTGGCAACTGCCAAACCCAGACACGTTCATTGGATTGCCAGACAGAGAAGCATGATTCGTCACTCCAGAGAACACTTCTCCAGTGCTCTAGAGTCCAGTGGCAGCGTGCTTTACACCACTGCATCTGACGCTTTGCATTGCACTTGGTGATGTAAGGCTTGGATGCAGCTGCTTGGCCATGGAATCCCATTCCATGAAGCTCTCTACACACTGTTGTTGTGCTAATTGAAGGTCACACGAAGTTTGGAGGTCGTTAGCTATTGACTCTGCTGCGAACTGTGAGCGTCAGCATTCGTTAACCCTGCTCTTTCATTTTACATGGCCTAACACTTTGTGGCTGAGTTGCTGTTGTTCCCAGTTGCTTCCACTTTGTTATAATACAACTAAGAGTTGACTGTGGAAGAATATTTAGTAACAAGGAAATTTCATGGATGGACTTATTGCACAGGTGGCAACCTATCACGGTGTCACGCTTGAATTCACTGAGCTCTTGAGAGCGACCCATTCTTTCACAAAATGTTTGTAGAAGCAGTCTTCCTGCATGCCTAGGTGCTTGATGTTTTACACCTGTGGCCATGGAGGTGATTGGAACACCTGAATCCAATAATTTGGAGGACTGGACCAATACTTTTGGCAATATCATGTATCAATATTTTATATTTCTAGTGATATTCCTGTAATGTGGCAATAACAGTCTTCCACCACTGTGTCCTAAATGAATAAATGTCAAAAAGAAAAGAAAGTTCCCAGCTTAACTTTCCAGCCAGCTTACTAACAACCGAATTAACCTGTCTAACAGTATAAGTTAAAAACAGGGGTTTAGTTAGCACACATTTGCAAATACATACGTAAGCCACAGAGCCACATCTCGGCACCCTGATAATCTGTGGTGCTAACTCTACAAATTTTGAGAGCCCCCATAGTAGAGGCATGTGTGTCACTTCAGCAGTCCAGTCCAATTGCTGTAGATTCCTGCAGCATAAGTGAGACTCCTGTGAGTGTCAAATTGTTCACCACCACCGCATTTAAATCAAAGGGTTACTAGACGGATAGACCCCAGAATGTAGAGGTCAGTGTACACATGAGTATGGTACAGTTCCCATGCAGAATTCAAAAATGGTCCATAACCAGCACTTTCAGCACCACCAATGTCTAAGAAACAAAGAACACTCCCACAGTGCAATCATCCAAGGCAGATTTATCAAAAGTATATAGAAAACACTTCCACAGCTCCAAATTGAGCTGCCACCTCCATCATCTGTGGCAGGAGAGATGACGTGAACATCCAGAAGCTCAAGCTCTATGCGTTTCATCACAATTTACTATGTCCTCAGTGGTAAACAATTTGACACTCACAGGTGTCTCACTTATGCTGCAAAAATCTACAGCAAGTGGATTGGAATGGTGAAGTTTCACAAATGGGTGAATAAGAGAAATCTAGGTATATATGGCTAGCATTAGCTGAAGGTTACTGATTTTTCTTAGCGGGTGTAGAAGGGAACAGGAGAAAGGCTTTATATCCATATGGGTGATGGATGGATGAATATCAGGCTGTGTGGATGTTCTCCGTGTTGAGGGTAATGAGTGCTTCTGCTCTATTCAGACATTTCTCCACATGTTGGAATATGTGCAAGTGCTAATTAATCTTCTTTGTTATGCTGAAAAGTATATTAGAGAAAATTGATACCCTTTGCCAGGAGGAGTCTCTTATTTGCACCCACCTTATACTGAAATAGTATCACTTTAAGAGTAGTCACTTGTTTGCAAGTATGTCTTTTAATTAAAAAGAACTACCAGAAAAATATGGAATAAATAGCAAATGTGTTATTAAATTTGTAAAAGCACACAGCTTTCCATAGAGAAATGATGGAGTATAGCCTGTTAATGAATATTTTCCTCTTCATTAGGTATGGCTAATAGGTATAATTTTACAACAGATTTAATAAAACACTGTTTATGCTGGAGGTGTCTAACATTAAAAAGCTATAATTATAGCTCCCTGCCGTCCCTCTTCTGGGAAAAAATGTCAGTCCTGTAGACCCATATCCATCTGTGCTGGTTTCCTCTAGTCTTTTTTGTCTGCTATATTGATCTACACCCAGTGACCACTTTATTAGGGTCATTTACCTAGCTCCTAGTAGGACCCATTTTTCTCCCCAGAACAGCCTGAAAGGTTTTTCA